TCCTGTCGCTGCCTGAACCCGCCGAGTCTTCATCCCCAGAGTCAGAGTCCTGGTCGGAGCCACCGGGTCCCTCTGCTGTTCCCAGTCCGGGTACAGACAGCTAATAGGACCGCTAACTAGTTAGTGTTTCTAAACTGCTCGTTTCATTGATTTTAAGGGGAATCCGACCTGGTGGCAGACATTCAGAATAAGTATAGAAACATCCAATCTTCTCACTGATGGTCTTGTTTCTGTAGGTCATACAGAGGCATCAGTATTAGATTTAGACCAGTTAAAAACACCTTGTAATGCGTTTAAATAAAGGATCTGAATCTGTTGTAATGATCATAGAGTCCTAATCACAAACCTTTGGCCTTGTAGCTACTAAAACAGACTGAATTCAAGATGCTTGTTCTTCATTGGCGAGGAAACTACACAGCTACAGGAGGGTGGAGGACTGTTAGATGCTCAGATAGATTTTGGGTGGAGTGTCACTTTAACCCACGATTGACAAACAAAACCACAAACATGTGACCACACCCGGGAGACGTGAGAGGCGAAAAGAGTTCAATGACCTGATATCAGACACGAGCTCATTACACTGCAGAGGATCCAGAAAGCAACGCTGAAGTCTGCAGGAAGAAATGTGAAAGAGTGACATCCTCCTCCTGAGTTGCATCAGCTGAGGCCGGCAGAGCGGGAGGCGGGACGGACCGCCAGAGAGCCAGCAGGTCATTGGCTCTCAACGTCCCGTCAGCCGCCTCAGTGAACCCTGCTTGGCTGCCCTCCAACCCTCAGCTCATAAAGCCAGTTAATAATAGAGGTGAACTCATAAAACGCAGCCCCGGCTTCCTTTCTACATCAAAATAACTGCAGGAAGAAAGTGAGTCACTGTTAGGAAAATAAGAGTCTGAGAGCACGTGAAGAGATCCACCGCTTTTAAATGTCCTGTGATTAAATAACAAATTGTTTTCCAGGACATTTTCCAGGAGTCCGGCACTCACTCTAAACGGTGGTCATCATTTTTCTGGCTACCCACTTTTAAAAAAAAAAGACAAACCCTGGTTCACAGCGAGAAGACAATAAATAAAACTGGCAATAAACCCGATTCTGAGACGGGGAAGAAGACAGACAGGATGATCATGTTTTAAACATTATAATCACATCGGTTTGAATTCCACACCGCTGCCAAACAAAACCTCAAACCAGCCGGAACGACAGGTCACAAACAGGTCGCTCCTTCTGGTGACACATTTTTAAGTTCACTCACAGCCGATACAAACAGGATGACTGACGAGCCTCTGCAGAGGAAGAGGAGGCAGCAGAGAGAGTCACAGCCTGCGAAGACAACCATGAAAATGATTTGCATTATTGAACGTGCAGCATCTCTGGGTTCAATAAATAAACTTTCCTTTGCTTATGTTTGTTTAATACTGAGCCTGCCAACTTACTCAGGATGGTTCCTCATTCTTTCTCTCTCCCCCCTCATCATCATCATCATCATCTCTTCTTTTGGTCTGGTTTTCCTCTTTTGTTTTGCCTTCACATACATTTACTGCTGCTCCACTTACAGACCATAGACTCCTTTATTATGTTGCTTTTGTCTTGTTATCAGCAGAAGCAAACAGCTCTCTGATTTCAGTTTCAGCTGTGCTCTCCCTCTTTGCTAGCTCACTGAGCCTCGGCTGTGATGAAATGGGGGCTCGTCCTGGACCACATGACTAACGTCTCTCAGCAGCACGCGGCATAGAGAATCCATCCCAACAGGTTTTATTGTACAGATGTCTAGTGTCTGTGTTTCAAAGAAGAGGGCTAACCTGATTCTTCGGCTGCTTGGTACGACGCTCAGATTCCTGCTCTGGCTCACATATCTGACCCGCAGGCGAACACAGACAGCTGAATACTTCTCTGTGTGTTTGTTTACATCCAGCCGGTCAGTCAGTCGGGAGGGAAGAATGTATGTCACGTCTGAGAAACATAAAAGGATGTTTTGAAGCCTGGAGGTTTAGTTTTAAAGCTCGCTGACATCTTTTGTTAGCTCCTGTAATTTATGGAGGAATGTGCTACTAACAGGGCTCCAACTCTTTTTAAGAAATCATTTTCCAGTTTTCTTTGCTTAAGCTCTCTTGGCTATTAAAAGAAGTATAAATAAACGCTGTTCGTGTGTTTATTAACCAACACCTTTCATGAGAATTCTGCTTCAGCAAAAACAGACTCACCGCTGAAAAGATCGCTGCAAGTTCGTTCCAGGTCTGGTAAACCCGTTTTAAAGACCTTGCAGGTTCAACACTTGAGTTTCAAACTAAATATGATCTGAGGCCAAAGATCTGAGCGAGGGGCTAAAATACAATAACACAATTCCAGGACAACATGGTTCATTTCCAGGATATTTGGTCATTTTAATCAATTTCCAGGCATTTTCATGACTGGAAACTGGAAACTCCAACTATGCGGCACATCAAGTTTCTGAAAAAACATCTTGTTTGCGTGGCAGCTAATGAAACATTTTTTATAGGGGAAAGCAACATTTGACTTTGGGGAAGTAGAGGCAGGTAACACTAACAATGAACCCTGTTTGCTACACATTTATGTCTCAATATGAAGCTACAGCCAGAAGTTAGCTTCACTCAGCACAAAACAAGGGAAAGGAAACAAAATCCACCTACCAGCTCAATAATTAACACATTAGATCGCGTTTGTTTAATTAGCATTAATATTTCTGTCTAAATCGGGCACATTTACGTCAGTATTGATGTTAATTAATGTGTGTTCTCCCCCTGGTGACTAAAATGCATATAGTAAATACAATTTTCTTGGCACAGTCCATCCTTAAATACAAAACCACAATGTAATGCTCATTAATACCATGTTTAATAATGAGCTTTACAAGTGCTGGGAGGCAGATTTAGTTACTTTTGGACTGTATAAACTTAAGTTTGTCACCTCCCATCAGCAGAGTTTAACTCACCAAACATCCAAGTGACAAAAAGTTGAGGACAGGAAACTCCAAGAGTAAAAAAAACCTCAAAACTGAAACTAGAACAACGGGTGTTTTTCACATTAACTGGTCGGAGTGAGGAGCGTGCAGCTGGAGGTGGAGGTCAGAGGTCAAGTGAATGCCCCAGTGAACTGATAGTGGACAGAAATGCCCCTAAAAGGTGCAGTGACCTGCGGGTGAAACCTCAACCTCAGCTGACCTGCAGACTGGATGACTCTGCACATAAACATAAACTGAGAAAATGTCTGATGCTGCAACAACTGGGTGACCTGCTGCTGGGCGGAAAAACAAAAAGAGACAATTAAGTGAGTCAGTGAGGCAGAAAAGATGCTTATTTTCTTCTCACACTGACAAATGTTTCTAAAGAAAAATACAGAAAATGACGTCAGAAACCTTTAAATCCACAACAGAAACACCAAACAAGCATTTATATGTGTGTTTGTGAGCCAAGTGAGTCAAAATGAGCCAGAACTTGTTCTGCTTTAACTCAATCTGCGTCAGTTATCTGTTGGTTTACTGTTTTGTACCATTTGTATCCTACCAAGTCAGCATTAAGGTTAAAGCCCCCCGGGTAGAGATACTAACATGGCAACAGACCGTTCCCCTGAAAGTGCCAACGTGCTTTATGAACATTGATTCTCTCACTGATCAACTACAATCGACTGAAAAAAGAAAAAAAAAGACACAAATCGGAGACAGATTCATGTCTCAGTGGTCAAAACCTGATATTTACATTTATTTATGTGTTTAAAACAGGCACATCTCAGCAGTTTGATAACATTCACAAATGACATTATAAAGACAACAGTAAGAAATCCTGATGAGATACAAAGTTTGGCACATTTTTACAGAGAAGCTGAAACTGAATACTTGTTGCATCTTTAATCTTGTAAAGAACATTAACCTCGTGGTTATTTTTACATTCAGACATGGAGCTCAGTGCGTTATAACAAAAAACATCTAAAAATGTTAAATGTTGTTAAGAAATTCTCTGATAAAAAAGTCCTCAGTTTGTTTTGAACACCAGGAGCTTCCTGCTTTAAAAAGGTTCAAAGTTCATCTGATTACGTGGCAACAAGTAGAAACTCCACCAGGAGCCTGTATCATGAGCTAACACTGGAGATCCTGGATAACTACTATCACCAAGCTGGTTTCCACTCCAGCTACAAACACGTACAAACACTTTTTATACATGGTTGTCTTTATTTAAGATGTTAAGAGGTTTTACTTGAGTTTTAAGACATTTTTGGTGCTTTTTGTTGACAAACCGACTACATATGTCTAATATTAAAGAAACTGCAGCATTAATTAGGTTGGGTGGTTTCTGTTTGTTACATAGTTTCTACTTAAAGGTCCCCTATGTAAGATTATGAAGCATTTTGCGTGTTATTTTCATGTATAAATCACATTTTATTGCCAGTTGTAATGTAATTTATGCTCCTGAGCTCCCTCACTATTCGCTTTCCTGCAGTATCAACAATGTGCTAACGTCAGCTTACAAAAGGAAGTCCGTTAACGTCCACAAGCGGCCGACAACCCACCACAACACAGAGTCCTGAGTCAAAGCTAACATTACTGTAAAGCTTGTGAAATATACTGTCATATTGTCAGGCGCCAGATAACGTTGTTAAACGCTGCTGAAGGCTTGTTTGCCAACGTTATCGCCAGCAAAATACTACCCGAGTGGATATGTCAGTTGGCAACAGACTTTTAATGAAATGAAGTTATTCTATTGATATACTAAAAGCTCTTTATTGGTCTTTGTTATCAGGATCCTGTAGGAATGATAAAACCACATTTTTAGGGTTCTCATTCGTCAGAAATCGGGCCGTTGCCGTGTAGGTTACCGCGGTGATCAACCCTGGTAGCGAACCGGCTTTGTGATCGCCAAAGATCGCTGGATAACACATTCATTTTGCTTTGTAATACAGGCACCTGGTGTGAGTTCAAAGTTCATCATGACAACGAGTTCAAAACCTGGTCCTATACTAGAACTGTGGTTCAAACATCCGGATCCATCAGACAGCTGAGAGACAAAGAAAGCTTGGACCTCTTTTCCTTTCATGATCGGTTTTAAAAAGGTCTGAACTGTAAACGAAAACGGTGAAAATCTGATTAGCTGCCGACAGAAAAACGAATGTAGCAAAACTCTTGTGCTTTCGTCCTTTATCTTTTCACTTCAGCAGGACAGTCGGTTAAAGTCACACATCACATCGGTCCAGACTCAGCTGTTTGTCTTTGTGCAATAACAGAGCGTCCTCACTCGTCGTCCTCTGTCCCCCCCGACAGCTACGATCTCCCCGACGGAGACCAGATTTCATCCTGAGAGTCTGAGTCGTCAAATCCGATTCCCCCTTTCCCGTCGCCTGCTCTGGCGCGTGAAGCGGCGCCGTTGATGTCGTTCAGCGGCACGTAGGAGTAGTCTCGACGTTCGGGGAGGCGAGCCGCCACCGAGCCGCGACAGGCCTGCACGAGGTGAACCAGAAGGCTGACCGACAGCAGCGAGGCCAGAGTGAAGGTGATTATCAGCCACGTTCGCCTGAGGAGAGACGGACGAGGTTACAGCTCGGTGAGCAAAACCAAAAACATACAAAGACGGAGAGGCATCAGTACTGAAAGGTATTGTAAAGAGACCAATACAGAAACCAAGTGGGTCATTGATTAAGTAATCAGGTTATTGGAAGGACAGAGTCAGAGTCCTGGTCGGGTACAGACAGCGGATTTATACATGCCGTCTCTTTGTTTTAATATCGGCGTTACATATCGGTCACCCTGCTTTCTAAATATCGACGACTACATATATTTTCTCCACCGTGTTCAGGCTCATATATAACAAAACATCCAACACATACGACAGAACAGTGGACATCTGTTGTCTCACCAGTAACAACTGCTTTCAGTTCAAATGTTTGGTCAAATAAGGGTTAAAACAACCAAAAAAACCTTCTTTTCCTCCATCTGTGAGCAGAGTACCCGTTCACAAAGCGCTCTGCAGAAACCATAGCAACCACTAACAATTCCTCACTTGCATGTGAAAGGTAAGGAGGCTAATGAATGCGTCCCGTCCTCAGAGCGTCGGCCTTGTTTTCATGTAAAGGAGAGACGAGAAGCCAAAATCAGAGTGGAGGACACGACTAATTATTCCTCGTTAAATATCTCACGTCACATTGATTTCTCTTCCTTCCTTCAATTGACATCTCTTTCGTTTACTCTGAGAAAGAATTGGTTGGGTTTTAACTTAAAGCCACGCTGAGAGAAGAACACAGTGTGTGTTGAACAGAGCCGCGGTTTAACATTTGGCTGGCAGATGGGAGAATTTCACACCTCGACACATTTTCTACATCTGAGAGAGAGAAACCTTTTGTGTCGACCAACCAGCGATTATACAACAAAAAAAGACAAACCTTTCTAGTCTTTTCTAAAACATCTCAAAATGAGAGAACTGTGACCATTTTTAAAGGAGATGGTTTATTAAACGAGAGACGGTGGTAGAGGTCAGAGGTGAAGGGGGGGGTTCATCTGACTCGACCTTTGACACTTACTCTGTCAGATGAGGCTGCTCTCGGTGAGCTTCTTCGTCTCTTCTCCAAGATGTAAACATCTGTTTGGCCAGACAATGTCCAGCTGTGGAGAGAGAAAGGAGAAGAGGACTGTTTGTTATTAAGAGTTAAATCTTCACTTAAACTTTGACGTGTATTTTGGATTCAGTAGAGACGAAACATCAGCTCATTAATGCAAGATCAATATTTATATGAACTCTTTGGTAAAGAAAAAAGAAACGTGCCAATTTAGAGTTCATGACCCAGTATTGACCATGACACAGCTGTATGAAATTAGAAAAAGAAAGAAAATACAGTAAAAAGTAAGAAACATAAAGGTTTTCCCAAAATTTAGGGACAATAAAGTATTCCCGAGTTGTATGTAGGAACCTTATCTTTGTGCTCACAGCGTCGAGTTAAAGGATCCACACCGATAACACACTGTGCTGGAAGGCCCAACAGTCTCAGCTCCTGACTGCAACAGCGGATGTATTCTTGAAATAATTTAATAAATTATCTAATAGGACAATGGCCAACAAAGCTTCAGGGACACAAAATAAGGCTATTAAGTCTGTTTGATTGTTAAAAATGAAAAAATACATAATACAGAAAAAAATCCCCTGAACAGGAAACTTCTTGTTACTGAGCTCACTGTTTGGGTTAACTGCACAGTTATAAATATAATACAAAACATCCATAAAATATGTCACT